AAACTAGATGTTCATTTATCACGTAGTTTTATGTTAAATGAAAATAAAATGAATACGGAACGTGATCAAATGTAAGCAAATAACGTTGGCTTCTTTCAGCTGTATTAACACAGAAGAGAATATTTAATTTAACCAATTAGCAATTAGCATTCTTGTTACAGCGCTAATGGTGGCTGAAAATTCAACTAAACATTACATGTAACGCATGCCCACGAAAATTAAACAGAAGAACGAAATTAATAGAAACAAAATAATTTCGTTGGTTTATAACTGCGATCCTTAATATTAATAAATAATTTAATCGCAAGGAACCTATTCAATTTCTAATTCGATTATTACTTAAAGTTGTTACAAGCAATTAATTGTTTCACACGATAAGTTTACAAATGTTAATTATTTCACTATTCGAAACGAAGAATATCACAGTTAAAAATAACATCACGTGTCTCGTTTTAATTGAATGTTTAGCTTCCGAGGCGCTGTATGACGTTATTCGTGTGTAATTTTATACTCGAACATTTGTTTCTTCCCATTTGCCTTTGAACAGACCGAATTCAACTTTTCAAGACTGGAAAAAATTTAATTTTGTAGTTTCATTTACATAAATTTTGTTTTTAATACACAAATAATTGTAAATGACGAAATTTATTCATTTCTGCTGCGTAAATCTGATATTCGTGTAGGAAAATATATCTTAAAAATCAAATTCGCAGATTCTCATAATCGAACAGATCGTTAAATATATTTAATGTTAATCAGATTAATTAGTTACGTGTTATATTTAGTAAATTAAATTAACTTTAATTTAATAGAATGTAAATTATGTAAGTATTAAATTTTTCGAATAAACAATTTACTTGCAGTTTCAGAATTTACATAAAATTTTGATTTCTAAGTTGTAAAAAGTGGAAAGTGTAAATAGAAATTATTGTAGAGAAAAAGAAAAGACAAAATAGTTATGTTAAATTATGCATGTTACGTCATAAATGAAGAAAATTGACAGAAATGCGCAAGAGAAATAAACCAGCAAACAGTTGCTCAACTTTTCCGGCAACATTTCAAGTATTAGCTGAGGCATCTGTTATCATTTTTTATTATATTTAATTTAAATATTATAAAATGGCAAAAAACTTAATTTTGAGGGAAAGACGAGTTATAGAAAAAAACTTTAAAATGATGATAACGAATAAAATCATTAAGTCCTACACTAGTGGAGATACACACGGCTCTATTATCTCCTTCCGTCGACCTTTAACCACCGAAATTCCGCTAATAAGCAATCCTCCTCTCGAAATTTCAGTTATTTTCGACAAAAAGCGCAGCAGTTATTAAGCTATACACAGGGTTAACAAAATCACACACATCCATACAGAAAAACCCGAATGTTTTGCATTTCTCGACGATTCGTGGTGTCCAAAGTCCAAAAATGTAAACATCTTAAAGGGTCATTTTCCTCTATTATATAACAACCGGGAAAATAATAAGCAGAAACAGAAATAAAAACAAAAAATCAATGGAAATGTCGTAATTTCGTAAACAGATACTTATCTAAAAAGGAATCAACTGTAAATAAGTGAAAAGTAATGATTTTTGGGAAAAGTGTCAATGCGGAATTTTCTAACGGAATCTTAGTGCGTCTGTGAAACTGTCTTAGCTAATAATATCTAACAGATTTTACTGTAGGATATAAAAACGTACATTTCTTCCAGGAGGAAGGACACACCGTACTCTACCAGAGAGAAATGTCACCCAACAGTGACTCGTAAGAGTAGAAAAGTTTGCTGCACAGCTGGAAATTTAGAAGCGGGAAGCGGGGCAGGTGCTACAAATGTAGCCCATTTACCTGATGATCTACGGGGGTTTTGTGAAATTTTTACATTTGGAAGTCGATGGCAACATTTCTTTACACGGGTATTGTAATAACGACAAATGCTAAACACAAATCGAATGGATATTAATATTTCTTCAGTTAATTAAAATGGAAGACGATAAGACTATTTCAATGTAAGCAATGAATTGCAAAATGTCAATCGATCGGAGTAAATAGAAATCTGGTAGGCTTATCATTTGAATTGGACAAGGCTTTTGACCTAATGCTTAGAATTTAATAAAACTAAATAATCTATTTAAATTTCGTACATAAAAAAATACAAGTATATCGCACATTTTAGTGTCTTCTATTTAAAATTAAGAATCGAGCAAAATATAATACGCAACAGTCAAGAATAGTGTTTAAGGACATCGTTTGGAGACTTTTCCCTGCAGTTTTTTATAAAATAATCATGACATATTTTATTGCCGAATATATTCTGGAAGAATTTTTCTACATTTCTTATTAATTGGTTATTTTTTCCGAGCGAAGCACCAGCACTTTCAGCACGACCGCTGCTACAATTTCACTGGAGGCATGTAACTATAATCCGTACCCATTCATAATACCCACGATAAATTATAAAAGTGTGAATCGTATTCGAACCCAATTCGCTCTGTTTTAAATAGCATCTTACGGCGCAATTACCGGTCCGCTCGTCTGTTAAATCATATTATCGCGTATGACGAGGCCTGTCACGTCACAAAGGCGACAAAAGGGCTCGATCATAAACGTCTATGACAGAGATTTATGATCACGTGGAATCGTTACCAACGAATTGATACAAATGTATATCATATAATGCCGTCGCGATTGCGCGTCGTCGTCGCGTGGCACCACGTCGCACCGCTTACCGAAACGTTTAAAAGAAACCGCATTTTAATCGAAAGCGATACAAAAATTTTGAATAAATGTTGGAAATAAATACGCAACGTACAAAAACGTGAATCGCTAAAAAGAAATCAATTTTTCGAAATTATTTATCTGTCGATTCAGACGTGTTACTTGGCGCTCGATGAGAAAAATTACGCGAGCAAAAATCAATATTAATCATTGCATTATAATATTGCTTACGTTCGCAAATTACATTTGATGTCGTAAAAGCGATAAATATGTTTTCAGATTTAGAAATAAGTCGAGACGGGCACTTTTATAATTATTGCGCGTGGCCGTCTTCGCTTCCTGTCGCGGCGCATCCGAATTATAATGGATGGAAGAATGACCGTACAGTGGCAGCTACATTAAATGTTTAATACCGTATTGTGAGATATCAGACTCACTAGTGAGAGTTTTAAGTGCTAAATTCGTGTAAAAAGTTGTTCTTTTATCATTATTTTTCTTATTTCTCCAGTCTTCACTTCTTTGCGGGGATCAAAAGATCTATTCCCGAGCAATGTACTGCGTAGTTTTAAAGGGTGACCTCCGAGACGGGCGAAGTCGTCCTAGTCGACCGCGGAAGAAATCCCTTCTCCCCAGGTGATCGCTCGACTCTATGGGATCTGCTGTTTGTAAGTAAATAACCAATTAGCGACAACAGACATATGTTACCGTATAGAGGGTGAACGAAAAGATCACCTGCAAGGGTAGACCGTACGGTGAGAAACTATATCACGTTACCGAGGATCGCCAGTCACTACCCCAAGTGATGACGACTTTAATACTAATTGGTCCAGAGATGGCTATATAACTTCGTCACCCGTGACGGGGAAGACGGTAATAAATCTGCAGAACTGTCAAATTCAAGTAAACAATACACGCTGCAAAGACAATTACGTGAGAAAAGTCCCAGATTTTTCCCACGTTAATCGGGTATAAAAGGGGATCGCTCCCGCACCTCCGGGCGATCGTCGGGAAGAAGCTACAAGATCGAAGCCTCCAAGCCTCCACTACCTTAGGGAACATCGTTGTTTCTGATCTCCGCTCCTAACGAGGTAAAGACTTAGAAAATTTTTACTTCCCTCTCTCTCGGTTTAGGCTAACTTGAAAGAATTCGCTTCTATTTCGGTTTAGTTTAGACTTAGAATAATTTCACTTCTTCTTAGGTTTTAGGTTAGAACTTAGAAATTTTATCTGGTTGAGGACCTTCGGCGGTCCCACCGACGGGAAAAGACGGACATCGGCCGTCATTTATTGTCGTGACGCGGAAATGTTATCATCATCATCATTATTACTTTTTTCTTGTTGGAATTTAGAATGAACTTGCATGTATTTGTATTATTTGTTTTATATTAAATATGTTTTTTTTTAATTTTAATATTGTATCACCTGTGAATACGATCGACACCTCATCACGACTCCACTACCCTTCCCCACTCAGTTAACAAGGCCATCTCTGACGACGAAGCCGATAAGTGGGGAGAAGTCACCGCTCTAACCCCCTCAGTTCAAAGTATATTTTAAAAATATTCTGTATTAAAATCGCAATATGTGTCTTAGATTCTGATAATAAATTAGAAATCGAATTTTTAATGAAAATCACGATAAAATAATATTAAAACTAATAAAGTCCAAAAGACTTTTCCTTTTTTTCCATATATATTTCGCTTATCAGCGGACATTACAGTTCTTCTTCTTCAGTGTTTCATATGGAGATTTTAGCTCTTTATAGGCTCTTTTTCCGAGTCACCTGGACATTACAGTTTTATATTGCCAATACTTTTATACTCTATCAAGCTATCCCAGCATGCATCAACACACGCGCCGGTATTTAAATTAATACAATTTACATATCCTTTGATACAATAATGTTCTATAACACGTCTTTTTACAAGATTTCTTACTTTGTACAATATTTTAATATTATTTCGGTCAATAATACATTTTGTTATACATTCGACCCCCCTATAAGACGGTAGATACGTTCCGTCCTTTATGAATCGATTTCTTNTAAACATTTAGCTCTTCGCAATAATTTCTACTTAAAAGTATTCGCTTTTGCAATCGAAAGAGAGAAAAAGCTAATTGATGGATGCAAAAATAGAAATGTAATTATAAAAAAGGCAAAAGTCTTGTTTTATTTTCTGTAGTGAAATTTATTTTGAAAATATTGTCGAGTTTGCGCAAACTTATATAATACATAGACTATATAAATCGTCGGCGACTCGCTCGGCCGCGGCAAAGAAGCACAGTCGACATGCTTCTGTACCTGTTGCTGTGTCTGCACTCGTCCGGCGTCACCGCCCGAGTAAATAACACCTGTGACGTATTACTCAAAGAATGCACCGACACGTTACACTGCGGCATGGTACTTCACAGTTACCGCATCAGTTGTCAGAAGGAAAGGTACGGGTTAGTCGGCAACTGCTCGGAAATATGCCGAAGATCGATTATCGACCTGACCACCACCCACGAAGGATACGACTATTTGCATTGTCACTGCGGCGACGACGAATATTGTCAAACTATACGCAAGAGGATGTCCTCGTGCTGGGATCCTCGCGCCGTTCGCGTCAAAGACCCGGGACCTCCCGTCGATTGCCGAGTGGCCGAAAACACTTGCCAAGCCGACCCTATATGTTTGGAGGCGTATCGATACTACAGGAGTCTGTGCGTGGAAATGTTCCAAGGAATAGAATGCAGCAGACGTTGTAACAATACAATTTCCATACTAATCAGGCAGAAGTTGGCTTCGAAATGGGAAGACTGCGCGTGTAACGATCGCAAGTGTAAACAGGAGAGATCCAACAGGTTACGTCTTTGTTTGGGTGTAAACGGTAACGTCCTTTCTTGTTACGAGAGTTTTAAAGGTATATTTTTAATATTCGAAGGAATTGTAATTTTCCTACGTTATTTCTGGTTCTAGTTTGTTTATTTAATTTTTGAAAAAAGAAAATTCGTTTTGGAGTTACTAAAACTTCAAATATTGGTGGATTTAATAAAGTCAATTGAGGAAAATTAAATATATTTTTTTAATGTTATTTTTATGATTGTCTCTAAACAATTAATTAGTAATTAAGGAAATTGTGTCTTTAATGTTGAATATGATATGTAATTTCTTCATTCTGTAAAGAGTTATTATATTCACTTTGTTTCGAAAAATAATCGGTGGCTAAATCCTATAATTTTACGAATGATGTATTATTAATAAAATTTGAAAACAAAATACATAAAAATTGTAACTTTATTCTTGATTGCTTCCTATTCTTTTGTACGAGGCTTTCATTGCACAAAAATAATACTTTGTACAAAATGAACTCTATTTTATTCATCAAGTGTGTGACTGTGTGATAAGTTGTATACAGCAATTTTGTGCTTTTCTCTTAAAATTTTTATTACTTAAATTAAAATTTTTGTTGTTTATTTTTGTGTGTGTTTGGTATTTTTTGTATAGATTGGTGATTTGATTTCTAACGTTATGTTACATTATGAATCTGTAAACGCTACCTTTTGACTCTATGGAGGACTTATCACACATTATTGTCGTAGTCGGAGTAATCACACAGAAGTCGGTAGACACAGTTTTACTATGACGACGGTATGCATTTCGTACAGGTTGTCTGTCCCTCTTCAGCCCTATTTGTTGCAATGAAGTGGATATACAGGCGTCTATAAAAAGACAAGCTGTTATTCGTTACAAACATTTGGGTTTTGGATAAAATAGTATAAAATTACATTTTTAATACATACAAAAAGGAACTTATCATTTTGTTGCGGTTGCGTGGATTACTTCATTTTCGTGGTATTTTCACAGGTGATAAATTATGTATACAACAAATAGCAATCTCTGCTATTTGTACTTTGGGGGCCTATAATGAGCAATAGCGTTTCCACATAAAATTGTTAGAAAGAAAATAAATTTAAAATTCATTAAAGTTTACTTAAGATTACATTCTTATTTTCTCAAAAGAAAAGGGATTTAATGGCAGTAAGATATTTTTCTTTTATTTTTCATGCTTCACAAATAATAATTTCTATAGAAAGAAATCTTTATAGATTTAAATTGATATTAGATCCTTTAGAAAACTTTATAAATTCGAATTGGAAAAAGTTTTGTAAACAAAAGGATTGAATTTCAACTTCCAACCAACTCAAATCAATATCAAAATACGAAATAATTACATTGAAATTTTATAATAAGTAAATTTAAATCGAAACTAAAACATTTAAATTTTCATCTAAAATTACAAAAATTTTCATTAAATTTTTTGTAAATAAATAAAAAGGTTCAAAAAGTTTCAGAAATAAATCAAAAAGTATTATATCTTTATAAACAATTATTTAATATTTTAAAATAATTTCAGTAGTAATCGTGTTTAATTTTTTATGATTTAAATTATTTTTTAAATTTTTTAAACGGTTCTTCCAGTCATTTCAAAAAGGGAAATTAAAATAACAATAAAATTTGCTAAACTTTACTCATTTTTTAAACAAAATTTAATTATTTTATTGCATTTTCTTAGAATTTTCATATTTTACAGTACGTTTTAAGAAAAATTTAAGACGAATTTTGTTTTATCGATCGTTTTTTCCGTCTCTTTTTCTTTTTTATTTCATAAAATAATTTTTTTTTTCGTTTATTTTATGAAATAAATACTCTTTATCAGAGAAAATTTTAATAGAATTCTCTTATTAAAGCAGTTGTGCAGTTAAATACAATTATTTATTCATTGAAGGGAATCTAATTAAATATTTATAACACTAAATATTCTCTTATTTATATGTAAAATATTAACTTTTAATAAATATGTGTTACTTAATTTAATGTGTTCGCATTAAAGACACTTCTAAGCTGTCTTTTTGTTCTATGAGCCGTTTAAAGAAATCGTGGAAAGCCTTCAGTGCACGATAAACTAATCGAAGACAATAGAGGTTTTACAGGGGTGCAGAAAGGAAACAATATGCCATCAAAATCTTTTACTACCCGAACCATCCGACTTTACTCTTAAAAACCCTCAGATTGGAGGTGCAGGCGCCACCCGCACCCTCCGAAATCCTCTCTGTTCGAACGTTGAGTAAGTCCTCGATCTCGCTAACATTATACATCGTTCTGTGAGTTTGAAAGTAAGTTTGATATTTTCGTTAATAACTTTACAGGAATGAAGTTGTAATGATTGTATTTGACTTGAAAATGTTAATGAATATTGTACACATACATGCTTAATACATATTAAAAAATAGATAATAAATGCCTACTCCGAACATAAAAGTGTTTATTATATTTTAAATAATTCATACTTATAAACATAACTATAGATTAATATTATAAAAATAGTTAACGAGAGATGGATGTCAAAAATCCAAAACTTTGACTCGAAAAAGGGACAGACCATTAATTATGTGTACAGTTTTTAGACATTTTTTACCACTTCTCTGTCTGTTGACTATAATAATTCACCTTCGGCGAACTCCTTTCCTTTAATTACGTGTATAGCAGTTCGTAAACCCCTTGATATTGAAGAAATGACTTAAACAAGTTCTGTAAATATATTCTAGTAAATAGGCTTGTAAGAACAGATTCGTATGCCATTAATACCATTAAAACATCCGAGTAGACAATGCCCTGATTTCGATCCTCCCCATTGTTCACAATAATGCATTTTTAGCAACCCCTCAGTCTCTTAAATTGTACAGGTAATTAATGGAAGGCCATAAAGAGTTAACAGGTAAATCACAAATGACAGTCTCTATGCCACATGACTTAGAAGCTATGATTAGTGATTGTCATCTAAACTAAACCTGTAATACAAATCTTTGTACGTACATATACGTCACGTGAGTTAAAGTTTACTTTAGTATTTAACTTAAATCACAGTGACTAAGTTATCTAAATTACACGTAAAATGCAATGTATAATCTCTAAGTCACGTGAATGAAAGGCTATTCTGCTTAATACTTACTACAAAATTATGTTTTAAGTGACGTTTAGATAGTGTACTTTAGGTGTTTGCATTAGTCCCACTTTAATGTAACACTAAATGAAATACGAACGCATTTCTTTAGTCATATAATCTTCATTAATAGTTTCTCTGAATGGTCATTATACTGGGTATTAAGACCGACAAAATAAAATGTTTAGTAGAGGGATCAATAAAAGCTATTTTAGTCCTATGAATTGGGGATAGTCGCAGCTCCCTTACCAGATACTGGATCCTGAAGTTCTTTGCTACCTTAAACGTTTGCTGTCTCGCATAACAAGACAACAATTTTTAAACTACATTATTATAAAACAGACATTCCTGCACTACAGCTCTTGTCATTGTCACACGCCTTGTTTCTTGGTGTAGCAGTTTAAAAAACGAAAACAGGTGCATTTCAAAAAAATAAAAACTGGAATCACAACAGAGAAAGAACGTTTGTTAGTTGTTAGTTCTCTATTGATAACCCAGTTTTAATTATATAATACAAATATTAAGTGCAACTACAAGAAAAAGGTGGTAGTCAGGTAAAATAATTTAACGTCTAGACTGTGTTACACGAAGAGTTGCAAGTATGCAAAGCTTAAGCTTTGCAGATTATCCAGCGCGGAGTTTTTGTGGTGATATTTAGAAGAGTGTGAATTAACAGCACTCCATAAATTGTTTTAACAAATGTTTAATATGTCAGGCTTCTTTGCATGGTATTTTCGAACCACGACGCAGCAATCAATACCAAACATTTAGGTGCTTTATTTCGAAAGGGGTCTGCAACGACTCCCAATTAATAGAATCAAAATTGCTTCTATCGATCCACCTATATCACCCATTTCATTTTTCATTTATATTTTTTTAATACCTTGTATAATAAAGAAGCACGCAAATAATATAAACTCTTACTGAGTGTTTATTTTACTTACAAATTTCTTCGAATATCTTTTAGTAAATTGTTTACAATACATGAATGATGCTTTTAATATATTATCGGTCATTGAGATTTCTAAAATAAAAGTTTGCAAATTAACTTATATATACTTTAAATATTATTTTCTTTAGTCTACAAATATCATCTCTATCTCCTGCACTCGTACGTTAAATAAGAGGAACACATCGAATGGTTAAATTTAAATTTAAATCTATTTTTGTAATATACTTTCTAATGACATACATTTAATTAATAAATACAAACAACACTACAAATATATAAAATTCTGAAGAACAAAAAGAATTAGAAACGATCTGAGGAGAATCCTTGTGGAAAATTAATTATAAACAATAGATTAGATTCACTAAACATAATTATTTTAGATTGTAAATATTGTTTGTTTATTCAAAATTTTATTCGATTTAAATGACAATTTTTTTATTGTCAAGTAATTTTAAATTACTGTAAAATTTTTCGAAAAAAATTTGTCAGAGTTGGCGGGGTTTACTGTATAAAAGACAAAACATCCCGCATTCTTATTTCAACTTAATTGTTTGTGAATTAAAACTACATTGTTTATCGGCTAAAAGAATATATATACACGTTATATTGCGATTTCTATCTGCATATAATACTTTTTCTACAATATTTGGCTGGTACAAACTTCTGAGATGTACAGTACACGATAAGGCATAGAAAGTGTACATTTTGTTACTTTCCTGCAAATTTTAAATTCCTTTTTATTCCTCTCGAGGCAGGCCGATTGTTAGTAGGCAACTCTACTACGTGTGTATTACAATACACAAATTTTATAAAGTTTCGTGAACATTTCCTAATAAAAAAAAAATTGAATACTGGCGTCTTATCGGGGTAACGCCATATCGAGGATCCAAATGCGTTCAAAAATTGGAAAGGTTTTTGAACAAAACATATTAAACACTAAAATCATCACAAATGTTTCCTCGATTTTAAGAGATTTTTATTAATTTTATACGAAAACAAATCGAAATCATTTCAATAAAATTTAAATACTATTAAAAAATATTTAAATTTGTGTAATTTAATAAATGAAATATTTAATATTTTATTATGTTTAATATTTTATAGTTGAGTCGAG